CCCTTCTTCAGGTTTGGATTTTATTATTTATAATTCTTGGACCACACAGGCTGCTGTGCTGCTTCTGGGGGACTTAGTTGATGCCTCACTTAGATGACTGCTTGTTTAATAGCCAAGCACCATCTAGTTTCTTCACGCTTTGCTACGGTACCCATATCTTCAGCGATTGAAGATCGCTTCATAAAGATCATGAGGACAAGCATCAAGCAGAGTCATGTCATAAGAACTAATTGTTCTTAGACTGGGGCTAGAATTAAGTGTGAGCCCAAAATCTGTTCATCTATCTATGGCTTATATATGTCTCTCGTTCACTTTAGAAACATCATTTTCGTTTTGTTTAGGTGACTTCTGCTTATAAACTGATGACAGCTTGTCTTTGGTGCGGATCTCTTGCCTTTAGGGTACCCAGTGAGTGATGCCCTGGGACGATCATATACTTACTATTTTAATGTTCTCCTTTATTACGATATGTATTAGTCTGGTAGGCATAGTTCTGCTGTTGTGAATGAATGTTATTGAAAGTTTCACTCTATCACTAATCCCATTTTTTATTACAAAAATGGTGTCTAGTCATTTAAGAGTATAATCTGTACGAGTCAGCAATTCATGTAGAGTAGTTTGAAGCTGGCCTACACTTATGTAATTTCCTTTTTGCAACAAAGTTTTAAATTCTACACCACTTGCTAAATTAATGACACTCTCAATTGCAGCGATGCTTTTTGACGTAACTAACTCTCCATATCCCCCTTCTGCAGCCTCTGGTAATTTCTAACATTAATGTTTTCTATGCATTGAGGCACCTTGTTTCTTTCTTTTTTTTAGCCTCTTCCCTCTATACAGCCTTCTTAGCACCACAATATCTATACACCACACAATTCAGTAGTTCAACCACATCAAGAAGAGCCATCCGATCACTATCACGATCAATTCCAGAACATTCTCCTCTTCCTTGCATGCACTGCCATTAGTGAAATTATCCTTCTCCTTAATTGTTGCAAAAATAAATGCCACAAAACACTCTCCAATTCAACAACTTCCACATGTATAATTCAGTACCCCTGACCTGATCCTTTGCATTGTGCAGCCATTATTGATATCCTTCTCCAAATTATTTCACTACCACCAACACAAAGCCCTGCCTTCCAAGCAGAAACTCCCTCCTACACCCTCAGCAACGATCAGTCAACCCTGGCTTTTTTTTTTTTTTGTAGTGGTTTTCTTGATATAATATTCACACTTCCACTTCCACTGGCAAGTCAATTCTAAAAAGAGCTGTATAAACATCATCATCAGTTCTAGTGCTCCCGCCCCCCGCCTCCCCCCACGTTCCTTCCCCAGTTCCCCACCCGATTCCCTGACAAACAAACCACAGCATCAGCCGTTGTTTTCGGGTATCCACTCCTTCCATTCTTCACAAACTAGGAAGTCCAACAGAAACAATAGAAAATGAAACAGAAAGAAGAAAATAATAATATAAAGACAAAAACAAAAATAAAGAGCAGGAAATAAAAGACCACCCATACCACCAAAAAAGGCCAGAGAAGAAATATCTGGGAAATCTCTCGTGAGAAACACAGAGCCTAGAGCAAAATCCCACTGGGTCCAGAGGGAGGTCTGACGACCAAGTACCACACCTCACCGTGGGCCACCTACCGACAGCAAAGCTGTTTGACTCCCTCTCCCACAGCCAGAGGGGGTCTGCCAGAGCTCAATCTGAGGAGACATCCTGCAGATGGACCTTCCCCCACAGCCTGCCACAAACTCAGGATTCACAATCCAAGCTCTGATACCTTTCCCTTCGTCTTATGTGGACCCTGTCATTGTCATCCCTGGACCACACAGGCTGGTGTGCTTCCTCAACATGGACTCAGTTAACAGCTCACGATGATGACTGCCTGCCTGAACACAAGCCTTGAAGATTGCAGGCCCTGTTCCAACTGATAACCCGACAAGGTCTGCTTTCTGCACCACACTTTGCTTTAGCGCCCTTATCCTAAGTGATCTCTTCATGAAGGCGAGTAACTAGCAGGGCTAGATACTGTTCACTGTTCTTGGATTGGAGCTAAAATTCTGTGAGTGGTAGCCCAGAATCCATCTGCTTGCCCTGGGGTTATGAACAACTACTTTGGTGGTCATATTATGACAAAAACAAAAGCCTGCAAGAACAGCAACAAAAAAACAAAACAAAGAAAAAAACTGGTCAATCAACCCCCTGGGGTATAAGGATAGTGCATTGATAACAATAATATATACAATGGCATAGAATTTAAGAGGCACCTTGTTTCTTAAGGTGGTATTTTTTCCCCACATTTTCAACTGATACACCAAGACTATGTCTTAAACACCATTATACATAGTACTCATAGATTGCTTATTTTCTCAGTCAATTCTATGTGTACACATTTTTGGGGGGATGGGGTGGCAGGGTGGAAATGCAACAACTTTATTCAAAGGAAAGTGCAATGTAACTTGTTGAAAGCTTAAAAGGAGCCACAACTTAGACACCTCCTCTCAAGTGCAGGACCAGGTGCAGGGTCGATTATTTCTGGATGTTGTAGTCAGACAGGGTGCAGCCATCTTCCAGCTGCTTCCCAGTAAAGATCAGCCTCTGCTGTCAGGAGGGATGCCTTCCTTGTCTTGGATCTTTGCCTTGGCCTTCTCAGTGGTGTCACTGGGCTCGACCACAAGGGTGGGGGTCTTACCAGTTACAGTTTTCACAAAGATCTGCGTTGGCAGCACAGCGAACACAAGGAAGCAGTCCACAAACTCGTCACGATGGATCTTGTACACATTTTTTATCCTCTTTCTCAAGGTTCCTATTTTCACTCACCAACTTCCCTGGCTGTTGTTATGTATTTTACTCTCTATAGGTAGTTTCCAATTACGTGCATCTGACTTTTGTGCAATTGTAGTTACAACCAGACCTCTTTAAAGCCTAGTATATTGAAAATTCAGGGTACACACAGTGGCTCATAGTAAGTGCTATTTTATGTTATACATCAAAACATTGTCATTATTATATGTTAGCTATGTGTTCCAGATACCTGGAAGTGTTTCTCTAATGTTTTTTTCATGCATAGAAAAGCCGAAAAACCAAGCTTCACTGCCACTGAGTCAACACTGACTCATAGTTACCCCATAGGACAGCGTAGAACTGCCCCTTTGGGTTTCCGAGACTGTAATCCTCCTAGTAGTGGAAAGCCTCATCTTTCATACACTATATATGATGACAGACATTTGACTGCTGTTAGATGTGAGCTCCTAACTTCCAGCTTACGTGCAAATTCTACTCAAAGACACTTAGCAACAGAACGTAATCATAATTCAGGGGCTGCTTGTAATTTTGAATGTGGTTTTTGGCATATTTAGTATCGCAGTGGCTAACGTGCTCAGCTGTTATCTGAAAGGTCATGGGTCCCCAGAAGGATTTCTGGCTTCCTGTTTTCTAGAATGAGTACAGCCTCGGAACCCTTATGGGGCTGTTCTACGCTGCCCTCTAGGGTTGCTGTGAATCAGAAGGACGTAGGGGCAATAAGACCTAATGAGCGGCTATGGCAGTGGTTCTCAACCTGTGGGTTGCAACCCCTTTGCGGGTCCAATGACCCTTTCACAGGGGTTGCCTGATTCATAACAGTAGCAAAATTACAGTTATGGAGTTGCAACGAAAATAATGTTATGGTTGGGGGGTCACTACCACATGAGGAACTGTTAAAGGGTCGCGGCACTGGGAAGGCTGAGAACCTGCTCTATGGATTCTTTTTCAGTCGTCTCCTTTGCTGCCCATATGGCTTCCAAACTAATGGCATTCCTCTGTATTTTTTCTTGTGTTTATATGAAAATGTTCTCATTCTTAAGAATTGTTTTGGTAGAAATTATTATGCACATGTGACTATAGATCTTTCTTGGTCGTACATTAATTATCTGTTAACTTGAAGGTATTTTGAGGAGATAAGAACATCCTTCTTTAATTAATAAAATAATGCTATCAAACTAGTTAGAGAAGCTTGCCCAGATCGTTGTTTTATATGCCATTTTGTTGTATATTGGGGAAACATGAAATTTGAACACATTTCAAAAACTGCCTCTCATGATTCATTTCACTTTATGGAAATTCAAATTTCTCTCTGACTGAGGGAAAAAAATAAATAAATAAAATCAATGTTTTGACTTAGATCTGATTCATCCAAATATAGTTTATTCCCAAGACAACTACAGTCAAGGTAATTTTGGACTGAATTTGCCCTCTTGTATATGCATTTGTTCCTGGAGAGCATTACTCTTCTTTCAGAACTGACTGAACTTCAAAGGTATAAGATGAGTGAGCTTTGGTGGTTGGGGGACATTGCTGGTGACGGGTACTTTCCCTTTGAGGACATGAACATAAAATTTGTCATACTTAAATTTAATAGGTAGCAGTAAAACCAACTATATCTTCTGTGTTGAATTTGGAGCTTGGCAATGGGACTTCAAATTATCTTTTTCTTTTTTTGTGTGTGTGATTCTAAAAGTCATTTCTTTTTTTTTCTAATCATTTTATTAGGGGCTCATACAACTCTTATCACAATCTGTACATACATCAATTGTGTAAAGCGCATTTGTACATTCATTGCCCTCATCATTCTCAAAACATTTCCTCTTCACTTAAACCCCCGGCATTAGGTCCTCATTTTTCTTGTCAATTTTAGGCGATGATAGCAACACTGTGTACATTCTTATAAATTAAGTAATGATGTCTTCATAACAAGTTATCTAAAAAAAAACAACAATTCACCTGACCTAGATTATTAAGGAAGTTAACTGCTAGAGTGGAAGGGAGAACTCGTTAACCTTGACTTCACTCCTCTGTTCATCACTGCTCTTCCTTTCTCTTTGAACAGGTTCTTTTCACCAGCTTTTGATGAATAATGGAACATATTTTTTAATTGAGCCATTGTCATAAGTGAAAGAGAGTAAGGAAGTTAACCCCAGATTAATGATAGTAGTATTGTGTTGTTTCATAGGCAGTGAAATCAGCCGTGCAGACCATCACTGTTGGAGGCGTGAGCACATCACAGTTTAAGACAATTATTCCGCTGGCAACGGCTCCCAATGTCCAGCAGATTCAAGTGCCTGGAAGCAAGTTTCATTACGTCCGACTGGTTACTGCCACCACAGCCAGTAGCTCGACCCAGCCAGTCAGTCAGAACCCCAGTACAAACACGCAGCCTCTTCAGCAAGGTCAGTCACCTGTTTTTTTCAACAGTAATTCATGTTTTTAACATTAGTAAAGAATGTTGGTCCTCTTCTTGCTGAATCCTGATTAAGCATGTCAGAGTTTGAATCGGCAACTATTCCAGAGGGCAGTGAATTCGAGTCCTAGTTGTACATAACTGGTGTTTCATTCTGCGATAATGCCAGATAATCATATTGATTCCTTGTCAATAGGTAGTTAGCCTCTTACTGTTGGCTTGACACCTAGGGCCTGTGTTCGAGTTCGGAAGTGGGATAGATTCAGGGAGAACGGGAGTGTGTCTTACTTTCTAAACTATGAAGCCCTTGATAGGGTTTGGCCAGTTGAAATCACAAGTACACAAATCATAATTTACACAAAGCATAAATGATAAATAGCTCTACAAGGGCAAGGCGAGCTTCAAAATTTTGAGAGAAAATTTAACTATACTTCACATGAACTTTTTGCAGCTTTCTCATATGCCACGTTCATCCTTTACTTACTTTGACCTCTGGTTACAATGCCCTATTTTTACTCAATTTTTTCCTAGAAGGTATTCCTATGCTTGTGTTGAATCCTTCCTACGTGCTGCCTCGTGCGTGCGCACGCACACACACACACACACACACACACACACACACACACGCACCTTTCTCCACATCTGTCTATTTGTTTAAAAGTTAAATGGGGCGAGGGGATCAGGATATTCAAATCTGATATTTTTAAACTTAGGTAATAATTTTTCCCCTTTAACATCTTCTGCCAATTCCAGTGAAGTAAAAAAGTAGTTGATGGCATGTGAATGATTTACTGTTGACTGCAAGTAAATAAAAAGAATCAAAGGCCAGTTGGTTACGCTGTGTTTTTAATTTAAGAGGTCAGGGGTTTGGAACTATCCATTACTGGTAGCTAGATTCAACTGAAAGAAACCTGGTAGCTTAGTGGATTAAGTGTTGGGCTGCCAACAGCAAGATTGGTGCTTCAATAGACCAGCCTGTCTGAGAGAAAAAGCTGAGCCTGTGTGCTCCCAGGGAAACCTGTGTACCATTGTTATAAGCTCCTTCATCTAACGCAATGTATGTGTCCCCATCATGGCTCCAAATCCCACTTTGGGAGTCCCCCCAATAACTATGCTGTATTGATCTGCCACCAAACATGTTTTCTGTGACATTTTTCTTTTACCTCTTAGGTCCATTTTAAAACTCTGTTTCTAAGAGAGAAAATATATAGTCCTGGAAACCCTACAGACCAATTCGACTGTCTTATAGGATCACTGAGTTAGAATTGACTTTGAAGCAGTGGGAACAAGACGAGTGGAAGGAGTATCGCCTGGGTCTTGGCAAACAGATGAAGGCCTACTCAGAACAGACTAGATGGCAGTTGAGTTTGGTCATCGGGACCGCCAGCAAGGGCAGTAAAAAGGAAAGAACATGCCAGAGGCCCAGTGGTACATGTGTAGATGAGACAAGTATACAGAGACAGGTCAGTGAGGAAGGTAGAGAGTTGGCGGGGAGAACACAGAAGGAAAGGTGGTGGTGCCAAGCAAAAGGAGAAGAGGCACAAGAGTACAACAGGGCACAGGGTGCTGGAGGCACAGAGAAGCAGAGACAGGCCAGGCAGACAGAAGTTGGAAAAGAAGGCATCAGGAAATGCAGTCTAATTAAGAAATGTCCAATCCATTCATCTACTCTTCCAGGATCTTACCTTTTCCAATATCTTTTCTCATTATTCTTGTTAATGAAGTCATTAGTGTTAATATTATACTACAAACAAAACAAACTGTATAAGCAGAAACACATTATGAGAGGGCTTTAAAAAGTTTGTGGAAAAACAGACACAAACTCTTTGAAACTCCTCATACATCTAAAATAAGACCAGTTGTGTCGAACGACTGCAACACAATGGACTTGGAGCACGTGTCTCTGTGTCCAGCTAAGTTTAAGTGCTGGAGAGAATATAAAATTTGGCTCGCTTAGGCAATAGTAATCACGTTTCATGTTTCCTCTCAGTAAAAGCACTATGATAAGAATCTCTTCCAAGATTCCTTTAACAGAATTAGAAACCACTTGTCTTGTTTCTTATAGTATTAGTCGGTTTTACATACTGCTGCCAGTACGTACAGAATTTAAATGACAGGTTTCTACTCTAACATTGTAAGAATGATGACGTGGGAACCAGTCTCTAACCTCCTGACTTCAGAAGAGTGAAGGAGAATCACCATTTGCATCAGCCCTTGTCCCATTCCTCTGAAGTAGAAGTTTGACATACCTCTACCCTTCACTTTTCTTCACCAGTTCAGGCATCAACCATCCCTCCCACTCTTACTTCTCTGCTGGGTTTGAGAATTCCTTATAATTGCCACACAGAACTCACAGGGAAGTTAGTAAGTTACAGCGCAGGATCAGAAATGTTAGGGATATAGTTACTTGGTCTACAGCACCTCTCTCTCTCTCTCTGGTCCTTCACCATGTAGCCCCCCTGGTCTCTGCCCAGCTCAGACAAGAAGTCTTACAAAGCTTCTTTAGTGCTGCCAATAAATGCCCAGAAGGCACCCCACTCCAAAACAAACCTGCCTGCAAAAAACACAGGTTTACTCACTCCATGGGGCAGGAAGCCCATCACCCTATGCTGTCTCACGCTCTCTGGCTCTTGGTTCTGCTGCCGCTGCTTTCCTTCTGCACTCCTCTGGTTTGACATCTCTGTCTCTTGAATCAAAGAGGTTCAGCACAGGGATCCCAGGGTCCAAAACATGCACTGGACTTCCCTCCTGGCTCTTCTTGCTTGATGGTCATGAGATTGGGGAATCTAGATTCCTGATGCTGAAATGGCTATTTTTTACCTAGCCAGGTGACTAAACTGACCAATCTCCTCTGTAGAGTCCCATATATCCTACTGGGATGATTCCGTCCAATCACTTACTGAAAGTTTCAAGGACTTTAGCCAGATGAGCCAGAGCAAGTGATCCAGATAACCACATTCATAGTCCCCAACAAAACAACTGGGAGTACCAGATGCCTTTTTCCTTAGTCGCCAGCTTTAACCTGAGCTTCCAGCCAAACAAGCCTTTTCATGAGTGTTTCCTGAAGTATGTCGTGCTGCTTCCCTGCATCCAGATTCCACTTTCCATGTTTCTGTCTTAGTCTGCTGTGCCTTCCCCTCAGGACCCATCTCAAGCACGGTGTGCTCCAGCTTCCTACCCTCTGGGGCCACTCAGATGGACGCTCTCTCTCTCTCTCTCTCTCCTGTGCATTCCCCCCGGCCTTTTGCGTGGCTTCTTTAATGACATTTATCTTATTTGGATGCTTGCATAGTCTAACCTATTAGACTGTAATCTTCTTGAGGGCAGGTGCCTTGTCCTTTAGTTCACTGGAACAATGTCTACAGTGCCATTTCTATAACAAGAAGACAGTAATGTCAGCTAGCTATTTGTTAGGCACTGCTTTGATTTATTTCCACAAATCAACATTTTATCTATTTACAAGATTGATACTGTCATCATCCTCAGACTATAGATGGGGAAATAGGCAAAGAGGGTTTAGTAGTTTAGTAGTTAGAAACCAACAGAACTAGGAATGGAACCCGCAGGGTCTTAGTCAAAGCCAATATTCTTCGTTTTTATGCTATGCAGCCTTTTTGCAGGTTCTGTAAATTATACCAAATGATAAGCATTCCCCACCCCTTTCACCCCCCACCTCCCATTTGGAATAGACATGCAGCAATTAGAATAGGATAGAATGATGTTGGACCTCAAGTTCATTAGTGGCAGCCCTTTTATGTATTTAACATTGCGTCTGGCTGGATTTCATAGTGAATCCATGTCTTGACCCTGCAACACTTACTGCGTCATAAAGTAGATGGAAGTTAGCTACCCTGGAAATAAGATCTCTGGTAGATGGATGAGGAATTTTGATAGGTAACTATTCTGATTGTACTGCTCAAAATTAGGACCAAAGGTAATTCTTGAAGCTCCCTCATGAAGATAACTTGGAAGCGCTAAAGTATTCCTCAGTGTTCCAAGTGTTGTGTTCTATTAGTATTGTTTGTACTCACTAGCTAACCAGATGAGTGAAATGTTTCCTGTCTGGGAGTTTCTAAGGATAAGAACTCATAGAAATTTGTGGGTGTTATTTCATAGAGCTTTTTGTTTTTTGTTGCTTATTGTTTAGCAAAGCCAGTGGTGGTTAATGCAACCCCGGTGCGGATGTCAGTTCCAATTGTCACAGCGCAGACGGTCAAACAAGTGAGTATCACATAGCCTTCTCTTAGCCTCTCCCAAGAGGCCAATGTACTTGAAAAAATCCAAAGTTTAGATTTAGTATAAGAGACTTACAATGAATTGAGTAATTGTAAAATTTACTTTCATCAATGCTGACACACTTCCTTTCTTTCAGGTGGTTCCCAAACCAATCAATCCCACTTCACAAATAGTTACTACTAGCCAACCACAACAACGGCTTATCATGCCTGCCACACCACTGCCGCAAATCCAGCCGAACCTCACTAACCTCCCTCCAGGCACTGTCTTGGCACCAGCTCCAGGAACCGGGAATGTGGGTTATGCAGTACTTCCAGCTCAGTATGTTACTCAGGTATGTGGAAGAGTTTAAGTCACTCCATTTCAGAAAGGTCCAATAAAGTCTTTTTAAGAAAGAAAATCAATCCACCAGTTACGGGTGAGTCAATTCTGACCCATGGAAGCGCCATATGTCACAGAGTAAACTGCGTCTGTCTCCGGTTTCAGGTCTGTGACCTTTCAGGAGCAGCTTGCCAGGGCT